CTGAGATATATGTGAGATTCTATGCTATTCACTGTGGGGAATACAAAGAAGTATAAGGAGCAGTCAAAATGACTTGATCTTGTTTTAGACGAGGCAAATGTGGCATAGTAGAAAGATTAAGGAGCTTGCCATCAAACAGATCTAGAGTTCAATTGTACTTCTGCCACCTAACAGCTGTGTGACTTTGGGCAGGGTACTTGTCTCATTGAGCCTCAATTTTTTTCTTCTATGAAATTCAGATAAATAGGTTAATACTCGCATAGGGTTATTGTGAAGATGCAGCTGTTAAAAAAATTCAACTGAGTAAATTTAACGAGCTAATTAGCTTTATTCAACGATTCAGGCAACATCCCATCTAGCAAACAGGAAGGAGATCCCAGGAGCTTTATAAAATGAAAGCTTTTATAGGGAGCAGGGGCAGAGAAACGAAGTTTCTAGCAAAGAGTGCAACATTTCAGGCGAGGCCCTTTCCTTTGGGGTTTCTATCGGGCAGATTGCCTCACTAGTGTTGATTAGGAAATTACAGATTAACTGAATGAAAGTTATATTCCCTCAAGGGTGTATTCCCTAATCTATTAGTTAGATTAGGTATTATATTACCAGTTTCATGACTGTATTTTGGGCATTGTCTCTTTTATAACACAGTGAAGAACTTCAGCAGATCTGTGTTTAATAAGACATTGGGGAGAAATATATTAGAAAATGATACATGCTAAAAGAAAAGCATTGCCCTAGCTGGTTTGGCTCAATGGATAGAGCATTGGCCTAAGGTAGGGGTGTCGAACTCAATCAGAGAAGGGGCCAAAATCTAAAATCCAGCCTAAATCGCGGGCCGAATGGTTTACTGAACTGTCATAAACTGTCATTGTGATGGAAACGCAGCGGAGTGCAGTGATGACAGCGCGGTGCGGGCCACATTGCAAGGCCTGGCTGGACGGATTTGGCCCGCGGGCCTTGTGTTTGACACATGTGGCCTAAGACTGAAGGGTCCCGGGTTCAATTCCTGCCAAAGGCACATGCCTGGGTTGTGGGTTTGATCCCCAGTAGAGGGCATGCAGGAGGCAGCCAATCAATGATTCTCTCTCATCATTGATGTTTCTCTCTCTCCTTCTCCCTTCCTCTCTGGGGGAAAAAAAATAAAAAATAAAAAATAAAATATATATATATATTTAAAATAATAATAAAGGAAAAGTTTCTTTAGAGCAGGAAGAGGTAATATTTCTGTTTTTAAAGATGCTATAAAATTCTGAGGAATTCATAAATAGCTATAACTACATTATGTGTAGCATATTTGTTTTGGTGCTTATTCCTATCTATTTCTTCATTATTATATATCTCTCCTTAGACTGTAGATTATAATAGTACAGGTGTTTTATATTTGAATAAAATTACAATGAAGTTGACTCCAATATATGGCAATCTGCAGACTAAAGGGTCCAGGGTTCGATTCCAGTCAAGGGCACATGCCTGGGTTGTGGGATTCCCCAGTAGGTGGCGTGCACAAGGCAGCCAATCAATGATTCTTTCTCATCACTAATGTTTCTCTCTCTCCCTCTCTGAAATCAATAAAAATATAATAAAAAAGATATTTGCACAAAAATGTAAACATTTGCAATGAAAGTATTCTCCAAAAGTAATACCTAATTACATATGGTATGCGGTTAAACCTTAACAGTGTACTCTAAGAAGATGCCCCTTCATTCCCTAGACTGGGTTATATCCACTTTCTTTATATGTATTCCCCCATCCGGCATTATATTGGAATTATCCATCTATGTCTGTCTCCCTATTAAACCCTTTGCTCTATGGAAAATACTCTTATCTAATTTTATGTGCCTACTTCAGGAATAAGGGCTTTAAACAAAGCTACTTATCTGAACTGAACAACTTAATGATGAAATTACTAAATATGAATCCCATCATCTTTAACTGTTTTGCTGGTGCCCTATAACAGGTTAGAATTTGGTTCAGAGTTCTTATGTCTTGTTTGGGGAGCAAAAATATATATATTTTAAAAAATATATTTTATTGCTTTTTCACAGAGGATGAGAGGGATAGAGAGTTAGAAACATTGATGAGAGAGAAACATCGATCAGCTGCCTCCTGCACCTCCCCCCCTCCCACTGGAGATGTGCCCGCAACCAAGGTACATGCCCTTGATCGGAATCGAACCTGGGACCTTTCAGTCTGCAGGCCTTCGCTCTATCCACTGAGCCAAACCGGTTTCAGCGGGGAGCATATTCTTGACCTATTTCTAAGAGTGTTTCATCTGACCCTGGCTATTTCAGAATTCTGCTGTGGGACTGGGTTCCAGGTTCTCACATCTTGCCTCACCCAGTGGCATGTTTCATGCCAGAGAGTGAGCATAGCAGGCAGCTGTGTTAGCTTTGTATTCTGTGCCCTCTTCCAGAAATGACTATACTCGTGATGCACTGCGAGATGGGCAAAAGCCAGGAAACGAAGGTTTCTAGGGTTCAGACTTATGTGGCCACAAAGTAGGGAGCTCAGTCAACTTTTTTGTAGTTTCAACTTAGTGCAGCATCCTGGGTGCTTTTGTGCTACTAACAGGGCCAGGCACCGAATCCTCAAAGAAGAAAAAAAATCACTTCCAATCATCTTGGCTCATCCTCAAAGTATCAATCTGTGTTATTCTCTGTGCCACAATCTTTCCTTCATTGAAAATCCCCCCCCCTTTTTTTTATTCCCTCAGTTTGTCATTTTTGAATGATAGGCGATTCCTAATGGGATTGTTTATACCATGGAGTCCCATGGAGCCTAAGGTTATGGTAATCTTACTATTGGGTCGGCAGGTAAGTAATTGCGGATTTTTTAAAGAAAATCAAAGACAATTTTTTCATGGAACTAAATAACTTTATTCTGTAATGTATTGCCCATTTTGATCAATGACCTTTTACCATCTTTCAGGCAGCATCATAATCCCACGTTCAAAAAACTTCTGGTTTTTATTAGCAAAAAACTGAATCAGGTACGATTTGACATCATCATCATTATTGAAATTTTTACCATTCAAGGAGTTTTGTAAAGATCGAAACAAAAAGTAATCAGATGGTGCAAGGTCAGGACTATATGGTGGATGTGGCAAAACATCCCAACCAAGCTCCATTAATTTTTGCCGAGTGACCAAAGATGTGTGTGGCCTTGCATTGTCATGATGGAATACAACACCTTTTCGATTTGTCAATTTGGGCCGCTTTTCTTCAACTGCATTGTTTAATTTCATTAGTTGTTCAATGTAGACATCAGAATTGATCGTTCGGTTGGGTGGTAAGAGTTCAAAGTAGACAATTCCTTTGTAATCCCACCAAACTGATAACAAAACCTTCTTTTGATGAATATCAGCTTTTGATGTTGTTTGAGTTGGTTCACCTGGCCTGCTCCACGATCTTTTCCGCTTGATATTGTTGTAAAAAACCCATTTTTCATCGCCAGTTATCAGTCGTTTTAAAAATGGATCATTTTCATTACGTTTCTTTAGCAAATCGCAGCTGCTAATGCGTTGCGTTAACTGTGATTCTTTCAGTTCGTGAGGAACCCATGTATCGAGTTTTTGAACATAGCCAAGTTGTTTTAAGTGATTTTCAATGCATGTATGTGATACATGAAGCTTCTCTGCAATCTCACGTGTTGTACTGTGACAGTCCGAATTGATTATTGCTTTGATTAGGGCGTCATCAACTTCAACTGGACAACCAGAGCGTTTTTCATCTTTGAGTGAAAAATCACCAGAACGAAATTTGGCAAACCAATTTTGACACTGCCGTTCTTTTAAGGCTTCGTCACCATAAACAGCACATAACTTTTTATGAGCTTGCGATGCTTTTTCCCTTTGTGGAAATAAAAAATCAAAATATGACGAAAATGTTCCTTTTGATTTTCCATTTTTCAACGAACGCCAAACGAAAACTACAAAACAGATCAAAAAACTTTTTTTACTGATTAACAGCTGAATAGCCAACTATCAAATAACAAAATGTGTTTTACATTTTTACTACGTCTGCAAACCTAAAAATTCAACTGAAGCCATATATGTGTGAAACCCGCAATTACTTACTTGCCGACCCAATAGTTATGTTCATGATCCTTTGATTATTAAAAATTGACCCATAAAGTGCGTGGAGTGCACTTCATTTTAAGTTTGAGGCTGGAGGAATTTTTACATATGTAACTAACTACCCCTCAAATTAAGACACGGAGCTTTTGTAAAACTCTTATGAAATGATTCCCTTGTGCCCCCTTGCATCCCTCCAGAGGAAACCACGATTCTAAACTCTTACGCCACTGATGATAAGTGTTGTGTGGAATTATTCTGGAGAAAGGGGATGATTGGGCTTACAATCCCGCGGGCCGGGCCAGACGCACCCTCGGCTCTCCCCTTTTAAAGGGCATCCCGCGGAGGTTCCGGGGGTCCGCGGAGTGGCGGCTCCGCTCTCCCGGGCCCGGGCCAGCCCCGCCAGAAGGCAGTCGGTGGGGCCTCACGTAGGCAGGTGCCAGAAGCACGCCACAATAGCCGCCCGCAGTCTCCCACGCCGGCCTCGCCGCAAGCCGCCCACCATTCGAGTGGGCGCCCTTCCCGCGCGAAGGGCGTGCCAGCCGGGCGTGGCCACCCTGGGCGCGACCCGCGAGAACGTGAGTGGCCAGGGGAGGCGCTCTGGAGCCCGGGATGTGGGGCGCACGCCCATTGGCTGAGCTTCCCCCGTCCGGCCTTCAGAGCCCACCTACCGGACCCTCTTTCGGCTCTTCCATTGGTCGTTGGCGTTCCAACCCGCGCCCGCCCCGCCCCCCTCCCTCCCGGATGAAAAAAAGGGTTGGGGGCGGGGTGGGAGGCCGAAGCGGGGGGAGGCGGGTGAGCGGTCCTACTGGTAAAGGGGGCGCGAGACAGCCAATCAGGATCAGACGTCGAGACGTGGCGCCGCGCCAGCCAGTCACATCCCGCGGTCCCGGTCGGGGGGGGCCGGCTGACGCGAGGGCTGGCCGCAGCCAATGGGCGTGCCGCTACCCGTCCGCTCTTTAGCAGCCGCTCGGGGGTGGTGGAAAGAGCCAGTGAGGAGAGCGCGACGGCGGCGGCGGAGCCATCGGTGGAAGACCCGAGGGAAAGCGAGGCCCCAGCCTGTGCATCTAGGTGAGAGAGGCAGGGCGCCAGGTGGGAGAAGCCGGGGGCGGGCCCCCTACCCGTCCGGCTCGGGCCGCAGCTTGCGGGCGCCGGGATGGCAGGCCGGGCCCAGCCCGGGGGTTACCCCCGGCGCCCCGCCCACGTCCTCGCCCCCGGCTGGGAGTGCCGGCTGCGGACCGGATGGTCTCTGGTTGGGGCGCCCCGCTGCCCTCCGGAGGGCGGGGACCGCTAGCAGGGATGTAGGGAGGAGCCTGGTGTGCTGCTGCGGAGTCTGGGGGCGCCTCCTGCCCTGGGCGGGGAGGCCGGGAAGAGGTGGTGAAGGTGGGGCAGGGCAGGGTAGTTAACGGAGGAGGAGGAGGAGCGGGGCTGGTGTGCACCAGAGAAGCCTGTGATTGAAGGATTCCAGGTCTGGGGAGGAAGAAAGTGATGAGAAAAGGTTGATGCTCAGAAAAGGGTGCCGGAGGAGACGGTGCGGAGCTGTGCAGTGTTGGTAAGTAGGCACTGATAGAGGGGGTTGGGGGACAGGGGGATCCGCTGGGAGTGAAGGGAGGGCAGGCTTGGGTTTTTGAAGGTTAAGGGATGTGGACCATTGGGGACACGTGGGATGTGGAGTAAGCGGCACCTACTGAAACCGGAAGGTGACTGAGAGGATAATAAAGGTTTTAGGTGAGATGAGGATAGAGGCTCCTTAACTAAGAGAGCGTTAGGTGGCCAGTTAGGGCAAACCATACGAGGAGCCAACAAGGTAGGTTTATGTGTAGTGGCTGAAGGGTGTGGGCCTTTTTGTGAGTGAGTAATAAATAATAACTCGGTTTTGGCAGAGACCGGAGAACTAGATGTCTCAGGAAGGAATCAGTCAGCCAAGTTCATAGGTTCATGCACTGCACTGCACTACACTGCATCGAGGCCTAAACATTGAGACTTGGCAACTCTCTTTGCTGAGGCTGATCGATCTTCCGCCCCTCGGTTCCTCTAATTTGCTTTGCTGCAGCAGCCCACATGCTCACTCTCTCAGAATTAATGGCACACGTGTTTGCTTTTGATTGGATGGCAGTGAAGAATCGCTTGATTCTTTCCATTAAAAAAAAAAAAAAGAATCTGTTGGTTTACACGCATTGTCAGAAGATACTCTGAGAAAATCTGCCCCTGTAGGGGAGTTTCTCAACTACCTTATCTTGTTGGACAAGTGTAATATTAGCATAAAAATGATGCAGGAGTTCTTGCAGAAACACAAGTGAGAGTTAACATTTTATAAGTACAACCCTGCTGTTCTACAGCATCAACTATTTTGATGTAGTAGAATTTGGTTATGTATCATGCTTGCTGGGAAAATTTTCAGCCTTGGGAAGTTTTATAGCTAAATAGGTTCAAAGTTCCTTTCATTTAGAGGAAAGACAGACATGGTACATGTGTATCACTGTTTCAGGCTTTTGGATTTTTTATTTGTGGGGTGAGGGCAGAGGTTGGGGTCAGAGAAGAGGAAGTAGAAAAGAGTGTTCCACTACCTAATTTCCAGTGGAATTAAATGGGAGGAGATGATAGGCACTGAGGTATAATTTCTGCTTGAGGATATAACAAAAAGAATGTGAAGCCGTTCAGCACTTTTGACAAACATAAAATAGTATAGGGTCAAGGACAGAAACTAGAGAGGGCATTCATTGTATATGTATAGGGTGCTTCCTTGTTAACTAGATCAATAAAACATTATAGCTAAAGAGTCATTCTTTGGGATGTAGAAATAATTTTGTGGGAGTAATTTCTTGGTAATGCTACTCATTGATCACATTTACTCTAAGTATAACAGAATACCCAAGTGCTCACAGGTGCTGAGGCGACTCAGAGCAGAGAAGTAATCTGAGTTGTTCAGGGAAGGTTTCTGGGAAGAGGTGAGTTTTGAACCATCCTTTGAATTAGGAGTTGGGTTATTGGAAGACATGAAGATTATAATGAGTGACAAATGAATAAAAGCTTTAAAGGAGAATTGAAGGTTTGAATGAAAATTTAAGGGTGTGGACTTCAACTAAGTTTGGTGTAGCTTAGTTGATAAATGATGATTCTGTATTATGGTAAGAGAATAGTTGATTATTAGAGATAAGTAGTAAAGGAAAGAGCAAAGTATTTTTTTGATAGTTATAAGAGAATATGGTAAAAGTAAGTTGGGTTGTTGATAAGTAGAGTTGGTGTTCATCTATGTATAATAAACATTTTTGTGTCCTGTACTAGATTATGTTGATAATAGTACTATTATTTATTAGATGCTACTTTGTGCCAGCGATTGTTTTGAGCTTTCTGAATATCATATTCCTTTGATTATTCCTGTTTTATAGATGAGGGAACAGATTCAGAAAGATTTAATTTGCTCAAGATCACACAGCTAATAAGGTCAGGATTGGCACAGCCAGTCAATAAACATTAATTGAGCATCTGCTTCATGTCAGGCACTGTATTAAGTGCTGGAGATTCAAAGTTGATAGCAAATCCAAAGATCAGGTCTGAGCCATTTTTATTTTTATTTTTTAGAGATAATCATGAGTTCACAGAAGAGAGTCAGGGAAGAAAGAGAAAAAGATTAGTTGGAAGGACTTTTGTAGACACTGAGTAATATACTGTTTAGGGACACTTAGAACTTTAAGAAAGAGGAAGTGGTCAGCAGTAAACTATATAGCTGAGAGATTCAGGGAATAAAGATTGAAAAGAAACTATTGAGTTAGGTAAGGGAAAAGTATTGTGAATTTAGTCTCAAGAAAGCCAAAATGAAGATATTAAAATACAAGCCAATAGTTAATCATGTTTAATGGCAAGTGCTCTATACAAATGTAAAATTTGGTATGATCACAGTTATGGTCAAATTCATAGAAAAGATGTTGGCATGTCTTTGTAATATTTTGATCTTTGGCTGGTAAGATTGTGCGTGGTTTAAAAATGCTTGTACTTTTAGTATTTTTTTCAAATAAAAAAATGAGCATTATTTTTGTAATTAGTGGGGGCAAATTATTCAACTGAAATAGGGGATATGTACGTGGGCTAATGCTAATCTGAATTGTGTTTGGAGTCAGAGAAAAAGATGGCCTTTACTTCAGTGCCTACTGCACATTCCCATCTTAGAATATCTGGGTTCTTACCAGGGTAAGCATCCTGAAACTATATGTTGAAAGAGAACATGTTCTTAATCTGAGGGATCAGGTGACTAAAGCACCCTGAATCATAAAGATAGGGTTTTGACTCTTCTGAACATTGTTTTCTTTGTGTTTAATAAACGGAGTAAAGGTTAAAAAGAAAACAAACCACCAGTGCAGTTGAGTTATTTCAACTTTGTCTTTTGGCCTTTTATTCTTTCCTCTTCCCACACGTTAGTTCTGTAGTTCCTGTCTTCAGTGGGTTTGTAATGGGCTTAGAGTCCCAGTTCAGTAAGAGTATGAAAGTGCTGAATTTGCATAGAACTGAAACCCTTAAAATTTTTTATTGTTTTCTGTTCTCAATTTGAAGAAGAATAGAGACTGATTTCAAGAAAGTAAGCTTTTCTCATAAAATTTCTCCAAAGGAAACTAGTATGATTTGGTCTAGGACCCAGAACAGATTTATCTTTAAAGAAGAAAGGGAGGAATTTTGCAAGTCAAGAATAGGTTGTAGTTTTTTTTTTTTTTTTTTTTAAAGTACATATTTTTATTGATGTCAGAGAGGAAGGGAGAGGGAGATAGAAACATCAGTGATGAGAGAGATTCATTGATTGGCTACCTCCTGCACACTCCCTACCTGGGGATTGAGCCTGCAACTCGAAGGCCCTGACCCGGAATCCAGCCATGACCTCCTGGTTTGTAGGTCTATGCTCAACCACTGAGCCACACCAGCTGGGCTAAGTTCTAGTTTTTAAATTTCATTTAGCCCATAGGGATTGTGGGGAAAAACAGTATTTCATCTAGGTAGTGTTCTTTTTCTTAAATTATCACGTTTAGTTTTCATATAGTTCTCTAAGTTGGCTATCCCATTTTTCAGATGAAGAGAAGGGTTCAAAGTATTTATTTTCCAAAGGTTGAAAAGATAAGTGATCGAACTCTGAGTCAAACATTGCTTTGTCAAAAAACTCCAGAATTCATGCATATGAGCAATGCAAGAAGAACTTGTTTACTTAAAATACCTACAATTGAAATGAATGGCACATAGCCTTTGGTATTTAGTAACTATTTGTTATGCTTAGAAGGAATTCTTGTTCTGTGTGTTTGTGTTTTGTGACAATGGCTCTTAAATGATAGCAATTTTTGTATTTTATAAAGTGCATTATATTACAAATAGAGGTGTGCTCACATTTTAGTATTTTTTGAAATGAAGATGTATTTACAGTGCTATATTTATTTTAAAATGTTTATGAAATGTATACTATGTCTTAAAATTCAATGTGTCTCAGAACTGAGGTAGTGTGGTGTTATACATATAGTCTTTATGTATAACTGTTTTAGAAATTTGTTGTGTGCAATTTCTTCCCAACCTCCTCTCTTTACTTAACCAATTAATTTTTTTTTTCAGTATGGTATAATATAGAATTGAAGTATATATTAATAATAAAATAGTCATTCTCTTTAGCTAGTGATATTATAGAAAAAAGATACTGTGATGTAGAAAGTTTACATTGCACTGTGAATCAGCAGATTGGAGTTTAATTTTGGTTTTGCTAGTAACTTAATGTATGATTTGAGGCAAGTCACTTCCCCTTTCTGAACTTTAGTTTCCTCATCTGTAAATTGGAGTGGGGTGGGGAACTTTCAGACCTATCTATCTTGAACAAACTGTATACCCTCTTTCTTTTTTTAATACTCACCCAAGGATATTTTTCCAATGATTTTTAGAAAGAGTGGATAAGAGAGAGAAGACTGAGAGAAATATTAATGTGAGAGAAATACATCGGTTGGTTGCCTCCTGCATGAGCCCTGGTCAGGGCCCGGACTGGGTAGGATCCTGCAACCAAGGTATGAGGTACGTGCCCTTGACCAGAATCGAACCTGAGACCCTCAGTCTGCAGGCCAGGGCTCTATTATCCACTGAGCCAAACTGGCTAGAGCTGCCCTCTTTCTAATAAAAAAATGTGGATGCTATAAATCCCTTTCTTAAAAACGGTATTTATTGCTTTTTACTATTTTTTCTTTCTCTTCATCTCCCTGTCTTTCCTCCTGCCCATTTTCCCACATGGATCTTTGAGGGTATATTAGAGAGGATGAGTTATTTTTGATATCCTGCATTTACCAGCACGGGATATCTGAGAAAATAGGTGCCTGTTAAATAGTTAATGACTGAACAAATGTGTTTTATCTGAATTAATAAGAAAATAATTTAAATGGAATACCATCTGAAAGCTGTTGAACTTTCACTGAAAAAATTCTGCCTAAAGAATGAAATGTGAGACATAGAAACATGGTGGAACAAACTGTGAAATCTCAGAGGGAAGGCAGGTGGGGGTGGCGGAATGGAAAGAGATCAACCAAAGAATTTGTATGCATATATGCATACCCCTTGGACACACAATAGGGTGGTGAAGGCCAGGGGTTAGGTCTGGCTAGAAGGGGTCAATGGGGGAAAAAGGGAAACGTCTACATTAATAAAAGAGAAAGATACAAATTGACCGTATCTCTGTGACGACCACCAGCCAATCAGGAATGAGTATGCAAATTAACACAACAAAATGGCAGGTTAATTTGCATATGCAGGTACATAGTAAAGAATGAAGACTGAAAGCTCCACTGCAGCCAGAGCCAAGCCTGAAGGCTGAAGGCTTGGCTCTGCTGCGGCCTGGGTCCCGGATGCCGGAGAAAAACCAGTGCTGGCAGCCAGAGGAAGGAAGGCCTATTGCACAAATTTTCATGCAACAGGCCTTTAGTAAGTAAGACTTTCAACAATAAAGATTAAAAAAAAAAAGAATGAAATATGTTTTGTAAAGTAAATTTATCTTCTCTCTTGGTCAGGTGCACACTTGGGCCTGTCTGTAAGAAGCTCTCCTAGTAGAAGAGGCAAGCTTTTATAAACTTTGTATTATGGGCAATTGCCAACATAAAAATACAATAATATGCGTATCAGTAACGAATAATCATCAACTTGTGGTCAATCTTGTTTCATTTGTACTTCCACTCACTTCCCCATTTTATTTTGAAGCAAATCCCTAGACATTTTTACTAATGTTTATCAGATATTATAATAAGTGTGACAATAGATGTGCTAAAAAAGTGAAGTGGAATTTTTTTATATATATCACATGGAGACTATAGATTATGTTGTGTTGGGCAAAAGAAATTAGACATAATCTGTAGGGCAGGAATAATGTAATTGGGGAAACTGTGCATATATAAAATAGAATGTAGTGAGATCATATGTCAAAATTGGTTATAGAGATTGAAAGTGGGAAATGACATGATTTCTGAATCAAAGTAGGATTTAACAGGGAGAAAGAACATTAAATGGGGGAGGTGAGGGTGGTCACATGGACAAAACAAGTAGAAAAATGTACCGTATTTTTCGGACCATAAGGCGCACTTTTTTCCCCCCAGAAGTGGGGGGTAAAAGTCCCTGCGTCTTATGGTCCAAATATAGCCTACACATATACTTTAAAAAAAAAGTTTTTTTACTTGCCCGGCTCTGTGTGGTCTCTGTGTGCTTGCCCGGCTCTAAAATGGTTCTAAATGCTGCTGTTTACTTTATAGGGTTGATTACATGTGTTTATGACTGTGATGTTGCGTTTTAATGCACATAAAATATTTTAGGACACTATTTGTTTCAGAATCTTTTTTTCTTCATTTCCCTTCTCTAAAAACTGGTGCGTCTTATGGTCCGGAGCGTCTTATGGTCCGAAAAATACGGTAATTTTAGCTTTATAGAATAAGTTATATATACAGCTGTATCTCATCTTTTATACCTCTGTAAGATGTTATTGATATACTGTAGATTTTACATTCATAATTGAAAGAAGCCAATTGCTTTATTACAAATTAGGACACACTACTTTGTGAATGTCCATGGTGAATTATTTGACACATTCCATTAAAAAGCCTTCTGAATATCTTACTACCACATGTATTAATAGATACATTTTGTCTAGAATGTTTGTGTTTTGTGTGTGTGATGAGCTTTGAAGTATGTCATTTTGAGGTTTTAAATAGTGGCAGGTGTGTGTGTGTGTGTGTGTGTGTGTATGTATTTAAATGTTAACCATTTGACAGTTTTAGAATTACTTTGAAATATCTAGTTTGTCTATTTTATGGAATTCTTGCTAGTCACATGAGCAATCCTTGAATTTGAGGAATTCTTACCATTATATCTTGCTATTTTGGAATATTGTCTTAAATATTTAGAAATATTAATTGGAAATAAAATCTTTTTAAAAAATGTAATTTTATAGATTTCATAGAGGAAAGAAGAGTGAGTGAGAGAGATAGAAACATCAATGATGAGAGAGAATCATTAATTGTCTGCCTCCTGCTTGCCCCCTACTGGGGATCAAGCCCACAACCTGGGCATGTGTCCTTGACTGGAATCAAACCTGGGACCCTTCAATTTGCAGGCCGATGCTCTATTCACTGAGCCAAACAGAATAGAGCTGGAAATAAAATCTTAAAATATATTCATAATGCAGAGATTTGTAGTCAAAGGTCATGAACCTGTTTGAGTATCTCCTTAAAGTTTTGTGCTATCTCCTCAGAAAATATACATTTAGTTTTTCATATAATTTCAGGGAGATAATAAGACTCAAATATCCTTAAGGGCCTAAGGATTTTGGTTTAATAAGCCATTCTTTAATGTATAGGCTGAAAGCCTACAGATTAAATTCAACTCAAATTCTGTGTACTGCTCACCCTTTACAAGCAGTCTTTTTTTAAAATTTTTTATTATTGAGTGATAAAATTATAAAGCTCATTATGCAGATATTAATTTAAAAAAATATACCACTTCTTAATTGGATTCTTGGGTGAAAGCAAGCTATAGCTGGTTTAATCAATATGTAGTAATGGTTTTACCAAAGATTTTGGAATAAGTGTATAATACTTTATATAATGGCTGCTATTTATTCTGAATTAACAGGAAGTAGAACATATGATATAAGAATGAATAAATGCATAAATACCATTTTTTTCAGAAACAAAGGAAAATATTTCTTTGACTTATCTTGCCCTTACATAGTTAAGATTTGTGGGTGAAAGAATCTAGTAGAGTATTTTGAGGTTTACATTTGTGTTAAAATAACTCCTTAGTGTGATACAGGGTTTTAGAGACATACTTTGGCTGACGATTGATTCTCAGTGGAGTTCAGAGATCTTAACATCCATCTAGTTTCAAGGTTGGTCCTAAATAAGTTTCTTAGTAATATGTTGTTTTAAAAACTTGTGAATTGTACCTATAAAATGAAGTCAAAATAATGGTTATTAGCATATGCAGAATTCTCAGGAGATGGGAACAGGTGAATTAGCTGCTATTGGAACATTTGACTCTGCAGAGCAGGTACATTGATTGAAGATCAGTGAGTATTAGGTGTATTACTTTAAAGTGATAACCCTTGTGATCAATTAGAGTTAATAATTCACTGAGTATCTTATGTATTATTAGGCAACAACTTATTTTAATATCTAGTAATAGATATATAGACTTTGAGAGCCAGAAGAAGACTTAAAACCATCAGTGATTTGGCCTCTCCTTCAATGAATTTTACCAATGATCAGAGCAGTTAATTGACATGCCCAAGGTCAGGTGGTTAGTGGTAGTCCCATTATTAGTGTAGTTATTCATTACCCTACTGATTTTTTGTAAGTCTTTTGTGCTTATATATTTTGGCTGTCTTTTCCTTTTGGAACTCAGTTTATGGAGAAGGAAGTATCTTAACACTAGGGTTTTTAAGATATTTTGTGACTTGGATTGCCAATTGATAAATTGTTGATACATTGTGACTTTGATTGTCAATTAATAAATTAATGAATTCCCTGAAGTTTTGTATTATAACGAGGCCTGTGCATGAAATTCATATATATATATATATATTTATTATAAATTCATATATAATAAATATATATATATATTTATATATAAATTCATATATATATATATATATATATATATATATATATATATATATATATATCTCCAAAAGTCATCAGTTTCCTCATGTTTTCTATACCTTTCTGGGCTGGTGATCCCTGCCTAACAGCATTTAGTTGAAAACTGTTCCATGAACCTGCAAGGTTTTAAAGGTAAGCCAAAAAATGATTTCTGAGAAGAGGGTTTGCTAAGAGATTTAGTCATTTTAAGGTAGTTCTTGGAAGTTTCTCATTCAGAACGAAAGACTGGAGGCTTAGTGACATCCAAGTTCAGGGAAGTTACTGCTTCCAGGAAAGGCTCTGATTCCAAGTCCTCATGCCACATTTGGTTGGTGTGGACCTGGTTGCCAGGGAGAAGACCTGTCCCTAATTAGTGACCCTACAGCCAGCGTAAGGACTCTTAGAACAGTGACGCTCAAGCTTTTTTAATCCTGACCCTTCAGCTGGGTCATTCTTTAGTTCAATAATTCCCACTACCTAGTGGAATAACAACTAATTGTCAAAGTGCAAGCATTTTGGGAGAAGAGGGATTTTCTTTAGCAGTTAGGAATATGGATGGTTGCTCATAGAATCACAAAAAATATACTATTTGTCTTAAAGCCTAGACTAGTTAGAAAAACGTAGGCCTAAAATCCTAGTAATACAAATGTACAGTACAGTCTGAAGTTTGACTAAAACAACTAAAGCCAAAATGACAATAATGAAGTTCACCTAATGGTAATTTTTAATTGAAAAAGGAAGAATAATGGTAATTGAAAATCATGATCTGCTAAAGACAACACCACTTCACTGGCAGTGAGTGTCCCTTTAGCAAATTAAAGAATTTAAGGCAGTGCCCTTGGTGGTCTCCCAGATCTTTCTCTTGCTTCAACCGTGTTTGGGTGGAACAGACCCAGGGATGTCCCTTCTTCCAGCCTCTGACCATCCTTCAACCTCTTTTCCAGTCATCACCTTCGGAACCACCTCAGCATCCTCAGCATTTGAGACCAGCCAACACTGCTTTTGTTGTTGTTGTTGTTGTTGTTTTTAAGCTTAACTCCTTTTACTGAACAACCATGAGCTCCCAGATTCGTCAGAATTATTCCACCGAAGTGGAGGCTGAGATCAACCGTCTGGCCAACCTGTATCTGCATGCCTCTTACACTTACCTCTCTCTGGGCTTCTATTTCAACCGTGATGATGTGGCTCTCCAGGGTGTGGGCCACTTCTTCCGAGTGTTGGAGGATAAGAAGTTCAAGGGCGCTGAGCTTCTTTTTAAGATGCAAAACCAGCGAGGTGGCCGCATTGTTCTCCATGATGTGCAGAAGCCTTCCCACAATGAGTGGGACAAAACTCAGGATGCCATGGAAGCTGCCCTGGCCTTAGAGAAGAACCTGAACCAATCTCTTTTGAAGCTGCATGCCCTGAGTTCTGCCCATAAAGACCCTCAGCTCAGTTACTTCCTAGAGAAACACTTCCTGAATGAGCAAGTGAATCTCATCAAGAAGATGGGCGACCAGCTGACTAACTTCCACAGAGTGACCAGCACCAAGGCTGGGCCAGATGACCCCCAAACTGGGCTGGGCGGCCCCCAAACTGGGCTGGACGGCCCCGAGGCTGAGCTGGGCGGCTCCCAGGCTGGGCTGGGCGAGTATCTCTTTGAAAGGCTCAGCCTCAAGCATAACAAGGGGTCTTTGGAGCCCAAAGGCCTTTGAGGGGCCCCTCTGTATTCCCCTGGTGTCTGGCTTTTCCCTGAGCCTCTGCCTGAAACCACTCACCATTCTTTTAACCACCCTGAAGCCCTCTCCATGCATTAGACCAAATGGAAACAATATAAAGCTTTTGCATCAAAGGAAACAAAAAAGTAAAAATAATTCAATTTTTTGGCCCTGGCCAGGTAGCTTAGTTGATTAGAGCATTATTCCAACATGTGAACGTTGAGTGTTGGATCCCTGATCAAGGCACATACAAGAAACACCCAGTGAATGCATACATAGATGGAACAACAAATCAGTGTTTCTCTCTTTTTCACCCTTCCTCTGTAAAATCAATCAATAAATAATCCTAGCTGCTTTTGTTCAGCAGAGGGAGCGTTGGCCTGTGAACCAAAGGGCCCTGGGTTCCATTCTGGTCAAGGGCATGTACCTTGGTTGCAGGCTTTTCCCTGGTGTGGGTCCTGGTTAGGTCTCCTGCAGGAGGAAACTAATTGATGTGTTTTCTCTCACATTGATGTTTCTATCTTCCCCTTCCTCTTCTACTCTCCCTAAAAATCACTGGAAAAATATCCTTGGGTGAGGATTAAAATTAATCAATAAATAAAAAAATAAAAAATGTGAAAGAATTCAAGCTTTGAGTGTGCATATGTGGTGTAGGAGCTTTGCAGTATTGCAGCAAACAGTTATTAATTATGTACAAATTAAAATCTTTGGTACATGAGCATGTTCATTTTTGTAACTCTTAATATCTGACTTAAGTATATTCATAAGGAGCCTTATGGATCAAAGGAAGGTAATGTTTTTTTAAATAATTTGTAGACCCTGGGTAGTCTGGCCCATTTTTGGGTCATTACCTTAGAAGGTAATCTAGTGTATTTTGGAATTCTATTTATGAAATGCATTTCACTTTTCTGAGTCTGAAAGTATTAGAATAAAAATTTTATTTCTTAGCATGAAAATACTTTTATTACGGTAAGGAGAGATTATAGTATAATAGTTTGTTTAAAAAGGAATCGTGTGACTTACAGAAATTACTTTTGAAAAATTAGTTTCCCCTAACACAGCATTGATTACATATTTTTGCAAGCAAAGAGACAGTTTATTGCAAAACTGTGTTAACAAGAGCACAGCCTTTCTTCTGTAGGCTTTAAAGTAGAGAAGTTACCCTACTGGTTCAGGCCTTGAGGACAGACATACACAAAAGAAAATGGATATTGCTGAAAATTTTGCTTATTAGCAGATAATTTTAATGCTATAGAATTGACATTTCCTCACTGATGGGGCAGAACTTGACTTCATAAGATGTCTTTGTATGATAGTTACATCACTCAGGAATTCTATGTGTATAATATTTTTCAGAATAATGAGGCCTTAGAGGCATTTTTAACTCATAAAAAAGTGCCATGCTTAGGGACCAACGTCAGTGTACAAAATACTTGTATAGTGCCCTAAGGACTAATGAACCTATTGAAATTACTTATTATCAAGAAGTACCTTCGACATTGAGGAAAATAGGATACAGAGAGTTAAGTACTGGTATAGGGTCTGTGTAGGCAAACACAGTGGCCATTATATCTACTTCAATGGGTGCTAACAACAGGGTTGGACACTAGCATCTTTATTGAAAAAGAAATGTTAACCAAGATGCTACAGCTACTCTTTTGTTTTTAAAAAAATGCCTTGTAAGCCTTAATTTTAAAAAGGAACCCACTATTCTGATTAGCAAACTACAGTAAATAGTTTGTACATTTTGAGTTTGCATTTTGCCCCTTTATTTGCTCTTTATATTGATAGTTTACTTTCAGAGGATGTTTTCTTTTATGTTGCATCTTAAAACACTACAGATTCTGGACTTTTTAGAACCAATAAACCAATAGTTCCCAATATGCCTCCAGATGGAAGTCTATCACAGATATTAAAAGAAAGTATATACTTACTTACAAGGTGAGACCTCTTCATTAGTTTAACTAAAATGAGTTAGTTTTCTTTTATCTAGAAGTGTGTTAACTCCAAGAGGTAACTTACTGGTTACAAGCTCACAATTACATGAACATGGAATGATGACAGCTTTTATTAAGTAAAGGAGGTTATTTGGTAGCAAAACATTTCCAACTGTGAGACCCATGGGATCATATATATTTTTTAAAGGCATTTGGGGTGATTAAAAAAATGTAGTCAGGAACAATTCATTCCCTAGCCACATTGAAGTAGATGTAACATGGATTAAATGGTGAATAGTCTCAAGAGTAACAAGCAGTTATTATATTTCACCATGCCCTTCGTGGCAGATTATATTTTCTAAAGATGGTTGTAACAGTATCTCCCATTTTAGGATGACGTGAACTCTTCTCTTACCTTAAGGTGGGATTTATGTCTCCTCTCCTTGTATTTTGATGGTCTTTTGAATCATTTGTAACCAATAGAACAAGGCGGAAGTTATACTGTGGGACTTTCAAAGCAGGATCAGAAAGTGAAAGACTTGAATAGCTTCTACCTAGCTCACTAGAATATTTGTCTTGAAACATTTAGCAGTTTTGTAAGCAGTTTAGCCTGAGATCCTCATAGGGAAACCCAAAAACTACCTCATGTAGCGAGATCATCTAAAGAGGATCAGGAGCTAGAAACTGTTCAGCTAGAACTGCTTAGTCAAGCCCTTCCCAATTTCTAATGCACAGATATTGTGAGGAAGAATAAAATAATTGTTATTTTAAGACACTGTGTTTTAGTGATTTTGGTATATAGCAATAGATAATCTGAAGACTTCATTTTCTGAATCTGTTACTATATTGAGATTTTACAATATGCAGATGTGCAGTTAGAAATACACCCCAATGATTTGTTCTGGGATCTCAACTTAACCTTATTTTGATTTCCTACCTTTTTATATAAACTTTTCTCTACCATTCTTTCCTATGGCCATTTGGAAAAGCCATTCCATCTTAGGTTTTTAGTAAGAGGGCTTTTTGGTAACTGAAACTCTGTCATGTGTATTTACTGTGTCACGAGAGCATATGCATCATCTTTAGAAGGCATTTTGTTCTGTGCCTTACTTTTAGTTACTATAATATTTGGCGTTCTGCTAGTTCCTTAGGGTTGCTGTAACAAAGTGGGTAGCCAAAAACAACAAATTTATTATTTCACAGTTATGGAGGCTAGAAGTAAAAAAAATCCATGTTCCCTTTGAAACATGTAAGGGAATCATTCCTTGCCTCTTCCTATCTTTTTTTTTTTTTTTTGTTGGTAAATTTGGCATTCCTTGGCCTATAGCTATATAACTTCAATTTCTGCCTCCAACATGTGCTTTTGTTGTCACATGGGATTCTCCCTGTGAATTTCTGTATCTTCACATGGCCCATTTATAAGGACACCTACTCTAGTGTGACATCATTTACCTTAACTATTTATATCTTCAAAACTCCTGTTTCCAAATAAAGTCTCATTCTGAGGTACTAGGGTTTAGGATTTCAATTTTTAGGGGGTATACAATTCAATCCAAAACAGGCCTCAAGGGAGATTGATATAATTATGTTTTAGCCATTTACACATTTTTAGTCCATATTAGATGTGAATGGGGTTTTTAATTAGTGCCCAAGAGGCTCTGCTCTCTTCACGTTAAGTCTCCCTTTGCTCCAGTGTACATAAATAATACACATAAAATTTGATAGTAATTTTAAACTGTTTAGGCTCATTAACCCCTTTGAGAATCTAATAAAAGCAGTGGATTTTTCCTCCTAGAAAAAGGTAGAGAGCATGCGTGGTGTGCATACTTGAACATACACATATAAATACATGCAAGCACAATAATGTTTTGGATGAAACTTTAACATGTTCCTGGATACACATCCAACTTGTTCATGAACTTCTGGATTAGTAGCTATTAATTTCCATTGATTAGTGATTCCTAATCCATCTTTCCCTTTTAGTGGAAAAATATACGGGGGAAGATGGGGAAGGAGGAAGCATAGGTATATGTATATAAGATTCCTTCATGGTCAATGAAGTTTTTTTTTTTTTGGAATTTTCATATTTATGTGGTATTATGTATGTATATTTCCACCCATACCTCATATATAATCTTTGTAAATATAAATTTACAGTTTAAAAAATTGTAAATAACATCAACATCTGTAGAGGAGAATAATCTAGGTTCTTTTAGACTTGTATTCAGTATATAAACAGACCTTTATATCTTGCCAGTGTTAAGTTAGCTTTTGACCTCTTTAAATTCTGTGTGTGTTTTTATTTTTGTATCAAGTTTTTTGTTTTTTGTTTTTTTTAAAATAGTGGTCTAGGGCTTCTGAGTTTGTGACAGAATTATATTCTTTGCTCTTGTTGACTTGTAGCCTTTTCCCCCAAAATAATATTGTCCAAGTCTCACCCCTGAACATCTTATCTTAATGGGCTTTCTTATGAAAACACAGATTTTCTTTTTTATACACCTTGAAAAGGTTATGTCTTCATTTGCATCTAGTCTGTGGCTTATTCAAGTAGAGGCTTTAGGTTTAGGGACAGGTTCTGGGGAGAGAAAACTGATGAGAGCTAGGCAGATTGTGAGAAGTTCAGCCAGGAACTTGGCGTTCAAATCCATATTTAAGGCTCAGGGGGGAAACAGAATATTAACCCAGGAACTGGGACAGAAACTCAGGATCTTGATCTAGGCCAGGGTCCACAAACTTTTTCTGTAAAGGACAAGACCAGTAAATATTTTAGACTTTGTGGGCTATAAAGTCTTGGTTATTATGACTAGTCAACTCTGCTGTTGTAGTATAAAAGTAGAAACAGTTCCTAGACCCAATTCCAAAGTATATCTGGGAGCTCCAACATGCTAGCAGGGTATTCAAGAAGTCAACTCAATGCTGACCCTAGCTATCTGGAAATAGCATCAAATTCCCCAGATGCCCATTACTAGCTCAGGTTGTTTTGTTACCTTCTGCTTTATCGGCTACACATTTGATGTTCCAATGACCCTTTCAACTTAAGATGCAAATTAAAAGTCCAAATTGTTACCTGTTCTTGTGACTGAATGGCTCTAAATCAGAGGTTCCTACAACCCCCTTCTTGGGTTCAATTAATTTGCTAGAAGGCTCACAGAACTCAAGAAAATCCAATTACTCACTAGTTTACCGATTTATTCCAAAGGATATTCAAGAATACAAATTGACAGCCAGTTGAAGAGATACATAAGGTGTAGCCCTGAACAAAGGAGTTTCTGACTTTGTGTAGCTTGGGGCACAGTATAGTGGCAAATGGAATAGTTCTAGCTCTCCAGTGTGGAAGCTCTTTAAAAGGGGGTGATGAGCTGTCCTTCTGTTTTTTATTATATAATCATGATTGTCTATCAGCGTTTCCCAAAGTGTGGTACGCGTACCCCCAGGGGTACGGGAAGAGTTTGGTGGGGTAGGCGTTGCACCGTGCTTAGCTGCGCTTAATTCTACGTTCTCATGAGTACGAGGGGTACTCAGTGTTACGAAAATTATAGAAGGGGTACACATATGTCAAAAGTTTTGGGAAACACTGGTCTAAGTCATTGTCTAACCTCCAGCCTCTCTCCATTCCCGGGATATCAGGGGGTGGGGCTAAAAATTCCAATCTTCTGACCACATTGTTGGTTCCTATTGCAACCAGCCTCCACCCTTGGGTGTGGTCCAAATGTCACCTCATTAACATATAGGAGATACCTGTTTATTTGCTTTCCTGACTTAGGAAATTCCAAGGA